ATTTCTATAATTTTATGTGAAATATACATTATATGTGAATAAAAGTGAATAAAATACAGTAGTATTATATAATCAAAACTAAAAAATGAATACAAATTGTTAAAACTTTGGGTTTATTTTTACTCTAATTATAATTAATGAATTAAATACTGGTTTTAAAACTTGAAGTTAAGAGTAAAGTGCAGAACAAATGACGTGACCATAGATTCACACATCGAGAGCCCTATTGAATAGCATTGCAAACAAGTGTTGCAAACGTTGTCTCGCATTGACTGGCATTCACTCCCATTGACTCTCTTTTGGACGTATTTGTGAACCAAATGTGAATGAATTGATCGATAGTTTGAGTGAACAGTAAAGCTATTCATTGGTTGTATTGAGTAATACATTGAATGATGTGTTTGTCGTGTCTTTCGATGACATCATAACAGCCGACAAACTCTTGTCTCGTCTCAAGTCTTCACTCAATTGTCTTTCAATCGGTTTTTGCATTAGTATTGAAGTGAAGGCCAAAAATGTATTCAATGTATGAACTGTTGGGAAGAGTGACTGTTTTGGTGACAATCGTTTGGCTGTTGGTTAAGGTTTGTCGCGGACTTTGGACTTCATTTATAGCCAATGCGTTGGGTTTGGGAGTGAAGTGGTGTCCGTCGGACAACACGTGGGCCGTCATCACCGGTGCCACCGATGGTATCGGCAAAGCGTACGCCAAACGGATGGCACAAATGGGATATAATTTACTCATTATTAGCAGAAATGAAGACAAACTCAACAAAACGAAAGACGAGATTTTGTCGAAATACAAGAAGTGCTCTGAAGTGCGAATACTGGCCGTCGACTTCACCCGAAGTGATATATACGAGCGCTTGGAGGCGACCATCGGTGCGTTGGACGACATCCATGTGTTGATCAATAATGTGGGCATTTCTTACGCATACCCCGAATACTTCACTCAAATACCACAATCGCAGCAATTGATTGAATCCATAATCAACTGCAATATCATTGCAATGACGCGAATCATTGAAATGGTTTTGCCCAAAATGGAGGCCAAAAGACGGGGTGTAATCATAAACGTGTCCTCGTATTCGGCTTCATATCCAATGCCATTGCTTTCACTGTACGCTTCGTCCAAAATATTTGTGGATTTCCTCTCTCGAGCTCTTCAGGTGGAGTACGCGTCCAAAGGGATTACCATTCAGTCTGTATTACCCGCTTATGTGATGACAAATATGAGCAAAATTCGTCGCTCGTCTCTAATGGTTCCGACACCTGATGTATACGTGAGTCACGCCATGAAGACTGTGGGCATCGAGAGCCGCACTTACGGCTATTGGCCGCACAAACTCCAGGGCTTTATTCAGGACTCCATTATCTCCAATACACTCGGATCTGATTTCAACATTAAGTTGGCCTTCAATGCACTCAAAGACGTCCGCAGAAGATATTACAAGAAAGAGGGCCTCAAAGAGAAAGTGAACTAACTTTTGTCGCTTTTACTGATTCATAAATTACCGGTTATTTTGTTGTTTACTTAAGAAATATTTTTCACAATTCGTTCTTCGGGTCAATTTTATAGCCAATAATTTAATTAAAATAACAAAAACTATTTAATTAAATATTGTATTAATTTCTCAATTTATTAATAAAATGTTTTAAACAAAGAAAAAAATGTCTGTATTTTAACAAATGATTAAATAGTCGGTGATATGGGATCTGATGGATGGATGTAATCATTTGGTGGCCTCTTTGCGAGTGGCGTCCTGTAAGAGCGTGACATCGATGTCGTCGGCCGGCAATTGCACGTAACGGACGACCGATCCTCTGATGAAGCAGTTCTTGACGGACAACATATACGGGTATTTGTGGCCATTCATGACAGTTATGTCACTCATCTTGATATTCAAGTACTGGTCCACTGAGTGAAGAGTACCACAAATGCTCAGATCGTTCTTCAGCTCAACGACCACATCCTTCCCGATCAGACTCTTGAAGAATGAGAAGAATAACATCTTTGCCCAACTGTTGCGCCAATTGATCGATCGCTGGATCAGCTCTAATGGAGACACCGATTGGGAAATCAATTGGTAATTGTGATTAAAATTTGAGTTTTAAAGCAATTGAAATCCAATTGAATTGTGTTTTGCTTTTCAGACCAAACAATACAATACTCTTAACATATGAGACATCTATCGATACATTACAGCACTCTTTGCCTCACTTTTCAATAGACTTGACTTTTACTGAACTTTATAAAGTTGCATGCTCATTTTGCTAGATTCATTCTAGCAATGTCACGTTTTAAAATTATTGTTTTATTTGAATTTTAATTTATAAATGTCAAAAATTATTATAATATTATTATTATAATCTTAAGTGCTATGGATTTTATTATAAAAATATATTCATAATTAATTACTTTACGTTATTTAACATAAGATATAACTTTTAAAAGTTTATAATAATAATTATTTGCAAATATACTAGAAATGATGGAGTGTGATTATCTGATATTTTATTAGTTTACAGCAATTATTTAATATTTTACAACATTGAAATATAAAACTACTTTTAATTTAATTAAATATATTGAAATTCGTATAATATTAATATATTTTAATTATTTTACAAGATTTTTCAAAACAAACTAATTAAAAATATTTTAGTGACGAATAATATTTAGTGACTTCCTTTATAATAAGCAATAAATTGCAAATTATTTCCTCTTTTTTCGTATAAAATATGCAGTAATTCATAGAATTATATAAATTTGAATTTTTAATAAAATTATTTTTAATCAATAAATATACTTTAATTTTTACATTTAAAACACTAAAAACTTTTAAATTACGTGCGATTTTATTATAAGATTGTAACTTTTAATAGATTTTAATTTCAATGATATTTTTAAAAAGTTATTAAATATTTTTTTGTACTGAATATGCATTTATAGAAAAATTTCATTTAATTCTCCTTTATTTTCATGGTTTAGTAATTATCAATAAATATATTACCGTTTCTTTAAATATTCTCATGATTTTGTATTTATTATATTTTAAAATAAATGTGATTTTGTATTGATATAAACTTATATAACAATGAATATAATTTTATTATCATTTATTTGATCACAATTTATTGTAAATCAAATTTTAATATATTTTAATTACACCTTTATTATAAATATTTGTGATAACACCGGAGGTATACAAAAATATATAAATACACAATACACGTGGTATTTACTTTTATGGAATGCTGTTTAACATAATTAGCATTTATTGAATAAAATTCTATACATTACAATGTAATAATTACATTATAAAATAATGCATTCAGGTGTGTAAGATTGTAATCATCATTGTCAAGTATTTTATATTTAGGTAATCACATGTAATTTACAATAATTACTCTTACGAGTTAGAATTTGGTGTTATAATTATAATGTATATTATATTAAAGAGATAGTAAAGTGGGAGACATTGGTTCGTGTGTGTCGTCCATCTGGACATTCAATGCTTACAATTAACAATTAGAGATAAAACTATATCAACAATAATATACAGTATATAACATAATATAATTGATAACATTTTTCTTTTTTAGCAAATAATAGTTTTAATATTTTATATAAATAGCTAATCCTTTAAATGCAGATCAGATATTATTATTAATAAACATATTATTGTTAATATTTCATTCAATATTACCACGTATTAAGAAATATAAAGTGTAAATACAATAATTTATTCAAATTCTAGTATTTATAATTTGAGATTTTATTTAAAATGAATAAAATATTAGTAGTTTTTATTTGTTCAGTGATATATTTAAATGAATATAATATAAATTGTGCGCCCATTACAAGCACTCGGGCCTTCAAAGTGGTCAACAATGAACTGGTTTTAGGCAAAAGTGCTTTTTGTGTCTATGTTTGCAAACATTATCCCAAAGAAGGGGGTAATTATTGCCACTGCGATGATGTAAGTAATCAATATATCGATAGCTAAACGCTTGTATAAATAATAGCTAATTTGGTAATCATATAATTTAATTAATAATAGCCTCCAATGGTATATCCGCTGAATATTGGAAATAACAATTAGTGTCGACCAAAATAAGACATTTCAAAAATTACGAAAAATTTCTTCGTCTATGCCATAGACTCTATGGGAAACCAATTATTTCTACCATGTAAAACTAACAAAACACGCTTTTATATTATAGTAATTTTGTTGTAAGTAGCCTAATATTTTTAGAAAATAACGTATTATTATTTTATTATGTACACTATATTACCGTAATATATAACTGATACCAAATAGAGTAAAAATAAACCCAAAGTTTTAACAATTTGTATTCATTTTTTAGTTTTGATTATATAATACTACTGTATTTTATTCACTTTTATTCACATATAATGTATATTTCACATAAAATTATAGAAATTAATTTATTATAATTTACGAGAACTTAAAAAGTCTATAAGTTATGAATTTTCACGACATATGAATGATTCGTTAAAATGTGAGAATTTATTGTAAAACAATGACAAAAACAAATATTTGAGAATAATATCAAGGGTTTGAGAAAATGGTTTATAAAGGGCTCTCATATAACTTTTTTAAAGTTATAGCTAAACACATATTCTTGAGATATAATTCAATAATTGAGTTAAACATTGAGGAAATACTTTAATTAAAAAAGTTTTTGCAAATAAAATATTTTGTCATTGAAATTGTCTTTGAAATAGTGTTGTGATTGTCGTCGGAGTGGAAACATTTGTCACATACAGTACATATCATTTACCAGCAATTATTGTATTTTATTTTTAACCACATTTTAAACATTTTTCCTTCTTTATAGATAAAAATTTCAAACTTTTGAGAGGAAAGTATTGGTATAATAGGGGGAAGTTGTAGTCTTTTAATAATTTAAGGGTTTATACTGTATTGCATATAATGTTTTACAGCACAGTATGTAACTTTTAAAGTACAGTATAAAATGCAGTATTAATCAGTATTAACAATATTTTGGATTCTGAGTTTGAAATATAGAATTTTTGTATATTATTCAGGGCAAAAAATGTTATGTATCCCATACCTAGAGTTAACCCAAAACAAGGATCACACAGCGATGCTATAAGTTAGCCACAATTCGGGCATTGCTCAAAGAATAGATTAACATTATATACAGATTTAATACGAGTCCATAGGATTAGCATTCTTCATATATGAATTGTGGTTAAAAATTAAAATGTATTTTATAATTCGAGAAAAGCTATATAAGGGCTCAAACAAGTGCTGTAAAACTCTATCAACAGAGCAAATAGTGGTTAATAATGCGATCTTTTCCAGTGGACACTTGGATACACTCTAATGATCACATCATGTGAACACTTTCTAATCTATTTATATTTATACCATTTCCTCATTTATATATTAATATCACTAATATTTTATGGAAATTTTTTTAAAGAGTTTTCAAATATTATACTGTATTTACAATATATTTAACTAATTGTGAATTTTGCATTTAATGAATTCAACTCTAAGTTACAATCGACTCGTTATTTTGAAAATATTAAATATGAGAATCATTCAATTGATTCTTTGTTTTTTAAAACAAATACTATTTTTAATGATTTATTGAATAAAATCATAGATATATACAGTAGTATACAATTTGCATTATATTAATATTTATAAATACTTAAAACATTGACAACGAGAAAGCAATATTAATATTAACTAATAAAAAATTGTATAAAATTCTTTAAGTTGAATCAATTTTATAGTTATAAATAAATAAAATAATGACTGCTCACTAGGGTTGGTAAAAATATAAAGTATTATACAATTGTATTATCCTTATATAATACAAAGCCCCAAAAATGTTGTATTTTACTATTTTTACTAATAATATGCAAATGCAATGAAAATTCTAAAATTTTAAGTCTAATATTATTTGATACAAAAATAACTTAAAGTATAAAAAGGTGGGGAAAAGGTATTAAAAATACTGAATTATAATATCTTAATGCTAACCATGAATGTCATGGATTCAACCAAATTGTACCTTAATTGTAGATCATTTAAATTCTACACATATTATACATTTCATTTCATTTGAATTGTTTTCATAACTTCTTATATTAATGATTGACACAACTTATACTGTATTATTTTATCATCATTTCTATCATATAATATACAGTATTTTAATAACAAAATGTATTAAATATAATTCTGTGTATATTTATAGCAAATAAACAGAAACTTGTGTTTTAATGGGGAATCAAACACAACTTTAGATCCGTCTTATAATCAGTAAATCAATTGTAAAAATATATTTCATTTAAGTTTTAAAAGTCAAGTATTGAGAGCATTGCTCTAAAGCCAGTGATAGTTCATTCACAGCGTATTCACAG